TTTTCGTTTTTTTGTTGTTGTTTCTCCACCTCTTTAACAGACCATGCGTACAGGCCAGGAGAGACGGCAGTCAGCACTCATGATTCTTGTAATGATATCATTACAGCTAGTGATTGCTTCTCATGCATTGTTTAACAGAGACATGTTTGAAGTGCTCAGCAGAGAGCTCAGGTAGATCTTTCTCAGCTTGCAAGCTGAATCAAAAGGCGGAAAGCAGATCAAGAGCAGAGAAACCGTTTTAAGCTCTCCACTCACTTTGCCAGAAAGAAGAAAGTTAAATTAACATCCTAAAATGACAGCAGGTTAAAATAATAATAAGAATTCTAACACACTCCTTTCTACCCATATACAGTACAGTGGCCCAAATCAAATTTGGACCCTTGCAAATGTCTGAATGTTATTTTGAGTATTTGTTTTTTTTTTTTGTTGGTTTTTTTAAAGAAATGCAGATTGGTTTGATATTTTTTATACGGTAAACTTAAAGACATTTGTACATTTTTAATTGTTTAAATGCCCAAAAACCCTTTATAAGGGGGAGGGTACTGGATGGGCCAGATGAGATGTTTTAAGGATCTTGTTATTATGGCTGCAGTGATTGTTAGCGGAGGTGAACCACAGGAAAAGCAGGCCCGGTCCACACACACACACACCCGCACTGCCTCTGCAGTCTGCAGTCCACCTGGACACCCGCCATCTGCAGCCACATCAACATCTATCATCCCGCACGCTCTAAACAGCATCAACACACAGTCACGTCCAGCAAATCAGAACACATCTCGAGCACGAATTACAGAACATGCCCGTAGCATTTCTCAACCTCTCAGATCTCTGTGGTATCTAAAACGAAGCATCATAAACCCAAGTGTGATTGTAATACAGAGTGCTGTACTAAATGATTTTTTTTTTTTTTTTTTTTTTTTTTTTTTTGCTGGCCTGGTCAAACCAGTAGTTTTATATACCGGTCAAAAGTTTTAGATCATTTAATGTTTTTATAAGAAGTCTCTTCTGCTCACCAAGGCTGCATTTTTTATTTTATTTTATTTTTTTAACAAAAAAACAACTGTAATATTGTGAAATATTATGACAATTTAAAATGATTGTTTTCTATTTTAATATATATTAAAATGTAATTTATTCCTCTGAAAAAAGCTGAATTTTCAGCATCATTACTCCAGTCTTCAGTGTCACATGATCCTTCAGAAATCACTCAGATTTTATGCTCAAAAAACATTCATTATTAATTTCAATGTTGAAAACAGTTGTGCACATTTTTCTTTTTCAAAAATTTTTTGAATTGAAAGTTCAAAGAGCATCATTTATTCAAAATAGATTCTTTTCTAGCATTATAAATGTCTTTACTGTAACTTTTGATCAATGTAACTCATCCTTGATGAACAGAAGTATTGATTTCGTATTTTTCCCCCAAAAAATAAAATAAAAATTCTTACTGACCCCAAACTTTTTAAAGGGTAGTGTTTAATGTTACAAAAGCTTTCCATTTCAGATAAAAGCTGTTGTTTTGAACTTTCTATTCATAAAAGAATCCTGAAATAAAATTACAAAAAACAGTTTTCAAGATTGGTAATAATCATACATGTTTCTTGAGCAGCAAATCATCCTATTAGACTGATTTCTGAAGGATCATGTGACACTGAAGACTGGAGTAATGATGATAAAAAAAATTCAGCTCTGATCACAGGATACACTTTACTATATACGGTATATTCACAAAGAAAACAGACGTTTTAAATTGTAATAATATTTCGAAATATTAATGTTTTTTGTATTTTTACCGTATCTAAAACTTTTGATCGGTAGTGTATATACATATGTGTATGTATGTATGTCTTACTCAAGGTCTTAGTATCGCTCCTTTTATACAGTACTTTCAACCTCAGACTGTGACATTTGTGTTAGCAGCATAGCGATCTACGCCAGTGTCTATCAGTCATTTCCTGATGTAATTTTAAGCTTTGTTTGCGGCTATATCTGGGCTACATGTCATCAGTAATGAAGGTGGTGTCTAGGACAGGCTTCGCTTACTCTCAGCTCTTTAGCAGTAATTGCATCTGGTGGTGGTAAGTATAGGATCAGTGGCTTTAGATAAATTTCCACCGAAAGGGCCTGTCGTCTGTGGCTTGTTTGTCAATCTCTCAGCTTCTTTCTTTCTCTGTCCCGTTTCATCTCTCTGTCGGTCTCTCTCTTTTGGTTTGTTGTCGGTTGCGCGTCACGCTCCACTTGGCCTGCTGCATTCTCATGGGAGTACCTTTAACACCTCAGCAGTGCTGGCTTTCTTCTGTCTAATCTTGCCCTTCCCCTGCCCAGATTACTGTATCAATAACACCCTGCCCGCCCCCTCAGACAGCACTGCCCCTGGTACAGTCACAGGCCATACAGTCCTGACTCATGCAGGAATACGTGGGACGTGTGAGACAACACAATGAAATTGCACTGTGATTGGCCTAACCAACAGTTGCGACTTTGTTTTTCTTTCTGTCTGGGACGCCACTGGTTCACCAGTGTTTATGTCACCAGCTCAAAAAAACAATGTGAGAAATAACATCTTATGACCGTGTGGTCAAGGTGGTTCTCCTTTTCTTTTTTTTTTCTTTTTTTTTCTTTTTTTTTTGTCCTTGATTTCATAGCTCGGCCCATCTTTCAGGCTGTGCATTTTGTTGAACTGTCTCTTTAGACCCCTTCCACATGCAGCTGGCATGGCTAACCCTCTGGCCCAGTTCACAAAGAGAAATACTCTCTTAATTTTCGGCTTTGAGCTTCATCACAACGGATAGCCACACAGGATGGAGATGAAAGTAAATAACCAGTGAGGTTAGCCCTCGCAAGCTCCCTCACACGGTCTGTCAGGGCCACATTTCTAACCCATACCAGATGTCAGTGTGCACTCACCCTGACACTCCTCACCTCCAATGTACCACCTTTATTCTTCTCTATCCATCTTCTTTTATGATCTATTTTTTATTACTGCAGAGTGTAAGGGTTCATTTATAAAAGTTTAAATATATCAAGTGTACACAGTACTTTCCCATTTTGAAGTGTAGACGCAACAAGTTAGCAATTCGTCGGTTTGGTCATGATTGCGTCAACGCTGTGGCTCTGTGGTGCCTTAAAAACATTTCAGCTCATTTGTTTCAGTTGCCTGACTTGATAACTTCTGGCTAATCCAGTGGAGTGAAGCATTGCATGCTCACTTTTTCAGCGGACTTAGTTACGAATGTATTCCGAAAGTGTTTTTCCCATAGGGATTTTTAAAAAGTCTTCGTTAAAGTGTTCTAAACCATGAACCAAACCAATCAGCTGAGACTTGTTTGAAAATCGGACAAAAAATACAAAGGTACAAGACTTGATGGTTAATGGCTGTAATGAGGGGAAATAACTACAATTCCATGAATCTTTGGTGGAGATTTCTCTGCAGAATCATTGATGTTGTTTTTCTCCAGGATTCGAGCTGTTAAACAATTGTTTGAAAAATAAGTTGAGAAAATGTGTGCTGACACAAAGTAGGTTGCCATTAAAATCAATTGCCCTATTTAGAAAATGAATGGGATTTTTATTTGAGTTCGGGAGCAGGACTGTATGTCTGACTGACCAAAGCAAATGGGAAAATATTTTGGAAATCTGTTTCCTAATAATAATGCAAAATGTTCTTTTCGTTGAAGTATAATTGGAAGTCAATGGATTCTTTTGTGATCGCAGCTGTAACATTTTTAATCTTCTTACAGATTGGCTCCTGTCATTTCACATTAGTCTCTCTCCTCTTTTTAATTATGGCACACAAAGACTTGGTTATGGTTCTGGTTAGTCTATTGTGCTAATTGAGTGACTTTTTAAAGTGTAGATTTATTATAAGTCCAGTATTTCCATAGTCTTGCATAGTGAAGAGGGTCTATTACAGTTTTCCAGTGGGGTTGCATTAACTAATTCCTAGAGCTAATCTTGAAATAAGGCTGCTTAATCACTCTTAATAAAAGAGTGGCTCACCTTGGCTGCTGGATGGCTGCATTATCAGATCATTGAGCTGTAATTGGTGTCATGAAACCTAGTGGTGGGTTATCTCCATGGGGATTGGAGTTTTTCCCCAACTTTATGGCGCAAAGATTAACCTTGGAGCATTTGACCTCTGTGCGGTGAACACAAATGTGGGTGTAGTTGCAGCTTTGTGTCCTGGAAAAGGGAAAATCTTCAGACTGGAACCAAATACAAACAGCTAAATGTCAGGTTGGAGAGTTTTGAGTGATGTCAGATGGTCTATTATAGATTAATGTACATGTCTAGGGTCAATTATGCAGTGGCTGTGACAGACAGACAGATTGCAGGTGGTCTCGGCCCCTTACATCCATGAAGCACTGGTTCTTTCCACCCCCTCTTCCCTTCTAAAGGCCGAGGTTGTCACAAATGGTCCCTAGAGTTGTTCAGTCGAGCAAAGGGCAAAGCCCAGCACACATAATTGGAATCTTTTAACCCTCGCAAAGCCCTTTTATTATCTAAAAAAAAGCTGTTTTATTCGATTAAATTTTGAAGATATGTCTTGCTTGAATGTGCACAAATTGCCTGCTCACACCAAAGATGATGCTTATAAAGTTTTAATATTCATGGTAATTCTATTAGAGTGGGAAAGTCACTTTCAGAATGATTCTTTCCAGCTGATGATTGATGAAGCCAATCATAATGCATCTGACTTTAAAAAGCCTGAGACAACATAAACTTGAACAGTGTTATCATGGGTTGGTGAGGATGCTGCTAGTTGTCGTTCTTGTTGTGGACGAGCCTCAATGCTGGGTATCGCTAACTACCTCACAATATGATACACGTACTTTGGATACATTGTGACACGTCAAAATATTCAGTTTTGGTTTTGGGAGAAAAACTAAAGGTGATATGATGTATGCCTAATGCAGAGCTTTGAAATTTGCCCTAAATGAAATATCATTGCTACACTAAGCTTCCATTATTTAAGGCTGCATATGTGCTTTGTTTTGCAGGAGGCCGCCACGTTTGCGCGAGAACAAGGCTTTGAGGTGAGTGGATGGAGGATCACACACTAAACAGATCCTAAAGGATTATTTTTCAGCTGATAATGAAGTTCTTTTTCGGACAGTGATTGATGTGCTATTATACTCTCTTGGCCCCCTTGCAGTGGTCGCCATAGCAACCTGGCAGTCGTCATGGTTTCTTTGTTCAGCCAGCACTCCGGCTCACACACTCTCTCTCTTTCTCACACACACACACACACAAACACATTTTCTCCCCTACTCTCACACATTCTCTTCTCCTTTTCTCTCTCTCATCCCCCTCCTTTTCTGTTATGACGCATTCCTCCCAGGTCTGCACCCAACATCGCCTACAGATGTTATTTATTGAATTTTGAGAATGCTCTTGGGAGGAGAGAAAGAAATCCTTAGGGGCTGCTTTCAATTCTGTCGGTGTACTGGGCAGGGCTAGCAGGTGCCTTTGTCGAGGAACCCACCTTGTTAGCTTCATTAGACCGTGTTGAGGATCCGGCACGGCATTACGCTCAATTATACCGCGCTGCATCCGCTCATAAATACTGGATCACCTTCCCCTCTAGTCTCAGACTGTGGAAACACTGATTGGCCTTGTTTGTACATAACATGTCAAAACAATGCGAGTTATCTCTCTGAATAGCAGGGAAATGCAAATGTAATAGTAGTGTTTCTCGTCTCATATTCAAAAGTGTACATGAGGGGGGCGGGGGGGGTAAATGTGAATTCATAAGCAAAGTAAATGTGAGTTTAGGAACAGCATGCTTAAATAATTGAAGTGGCTTATCTTTTTTCAAATGCAGTGCTATCCGCCTGAATGTGTTTCGTCTCAGTATGAATAATTGTCTTCCAGGATCACTCAAGGTGCGATCGACGTGACTGGAATGCAAAGCAGATTCTGGCAGCAGAGTAAGTTAGAGAGAGAGAGAGAGAGAGGGAGGGAGAGATAGTGTGCATGGGCGAGAGAGAGAGAGGAGGAGCAGTTCGTGAGCCAGGGAGATAGAGGAGGGGGCGAGAGCTTGCATCGCACAGAGTAAATATATAAATGGCAAGCACTGTCACACACTGTGAGTACCTCTTCTCTGATTTCACACACGTCATGTTGATTTAGGGCTCAGAGAAAAGGGAATCTTTGACATACGAGCCTTTACCCTGATTTTGCTTCAGAAATAAACATCTCAACAGAGTATGGCAATTGAAATGTTAGAATTTTGTGACAGGATGGAGAGAAATCGAGAATTTTCAGGCCCGTGCAAAGAAGCATGTCATCATTTGTTTTTTGATGGTGGCATTTTTCAATATTATTCACACACGCCTCCGCACATCAGGTGACTTTCCACATCTGCTTGTCTGCTGACTGATTCTAAGTTTTTGTGGTCCGCAACATCAGAGTCACGCTTCCCCCTTTGTTTATCAGCATAAATCTTCGTACCCCACTCAAAGCAGCATTTCGATTGTGTTTCGAATCATCACTTCCGGAGAAATTGGTGCAAAATAGAAATGAAAGCTGTAGCCACTGTGGCCCTTTTATTTTATCACTCACTGTCTTTAAAACACTACAAATTCTGACAAAACTCTTCACGTTTTCTGGCGATCAGAAGCAAAAATTTTAAGCAAATTATTCTGTTCTATTAGCCTGGCAAACGTCAGACCCAAGTCTCAGTGAGACGTGGTCTGGGAACCACATGTTCTTTTTCTCATATTTGAGGCGTTTACGAATGCCCAGAGACGTTTATTGGGTGACGTTTATCAAATTCGCCTGTACGTAGCGCATAGCCAATCGTTTCAATTATACCAGATGACGTATGTAGAGCGACTGGAGAAGACGATGGGTCAGAAAATTATGTGTACACGATGGCGTGTATCTAACACCGCATGTATTTTTTCCGGCGTGCATGTTAATCGATGAGTGCATTCACAGCGGGAGCAGGAGCGTCGCGTGAGCAGCAGTGAAGCAGGGGTTTCTGTGTCGAGTCAGTTTTTGCTGCACTGCTCACGCTCAAATTGAAAGCACACTTTGATGGACAAAAATAAGTATGATTTTACACAAATAGTGCCAAAAATGCACATAATAAGCATGTGTAGTGAGTTTTACTTGAAACTTGAGTAGGCAAATAAAAAAAAAATAAAGACTCAAAAATATTTATAGAAGATTTAGGCTACCCGGTATAAACTTTAAAAAAGTTTTAATTATTCAGTTTGGGTGAATGTTGTTATATAAAAAAAATAAATAAAGTAAACTAGCCAGAAAATATTTTATTTAAACATTATTTTAGTTTATGTAACACACAGACAGCTACATAGGCTAGCACAACCCAAATCAAACCCGAGGTGTGTGGTTTATTTGTGCGTTTTGTTTTTTTTATCAGCAGAGTTGCAGTCTTGTAAACATATCGACAGTATGACTGAAACTAATAGATTGAAGCCATTTTCTGGGTTGTTTTGTTGTTTAACATTTATATGCGAATGTTGTACACCTCCCCATTACGATCTTTCAAGACTATTAATGTTATAAATGACCAACTTCTAAAAACAAATGTATAGTTGTCTTTGTAAAGAATTGCTCTCTTATATATGTGGCTTTGGAGCCGCTGCTGTGACAGTATACAAACGCTTCCAGTGTGAATACTCTCGCGTGTAAGTTAGTTACGCTGACGCGCTGCGCTGCTCAATTCAAGTGCCACGAACGCTTGCGGTGTGAAGCGAAAGGTAACTTCGCGTTTGCTCCCATGTTGGATCCATAGATATAAACAAACTGCCTTGCTGCTCCCTTCCCGTTCTGTGATTGGTTCCCTAGATGAGGCGAAAATTTGGTCCATGGTATCCAGACTACCTAGCAGCGTAAATAAAATTGCGCTGCGGCAAGGCAGTATGGGGAAACCCAAGCTACTGTTCCATGGTATCCGTAATATGTGATTTTAAAAAAAAAAAATTATTTAATATGCATTTATGAAATTTTAAATATAATATTTTATGCATTAGAATTAATATCGCATAACGCATATCGTCTTTCCTATTTTTTTATATACAGTATTATAACAGGGGGCAGCAGACTTGTGGGACATGAAGGGATAATCACAGAAGCGCGCACCTTTAGTAACACAAATGGTTTATTGGATATGCATCCTAGCGCAGGTTAAAATCGTTCACTTTAATAGCATTTTACAGTTCCTAACTTAAGACAGGCTGTGTGACTATACGGATTGATTACCTCAAAATGTACATCCGTAATCCGTATATTTCAATTAAAAACATGCACCTGTGAGAAATTATCCCTCAGTGTGCCAACATTGCCATAGCTTACCGACCCCTGCAATTTTACAAATCCATCTCAAGCAAGTGTATACATTAAGGCGCAACATTTTTTATTTTATTGTATTAAGATTCTTATATTTATTTTTTCACCCAGAATTTTAATGCAATATCCCAAAATTTTCATAAAGTACGTGGATGGAAAACCAGTTATTGATATGCACTATTGTGGTTGTAGGCACTCTGAATCTTGTAGCTTTCCTAGGAAGCAATACAAACTTCCAATAAGCTCTGTGATTATCTGAATAACTCCGGAGCAGACGCTGCTAGACGTGCTGTACCTGAGTAAAGATAATATTTTTCTCACATCTTAAACAATGTGGCAACATTCAGAAGTGTGAAAGAAGAGTGTTTTTACAATACAGCTCGACATCTTGTGAAAATATACAGGCTTTATTAAAGTGAAAATCAAACACGTCTGCTTAGCATCAATCCATTTCCCTTGCTTCAAAGAGATGCCTTGTTAATAAATCAATTTACATCTCAAGAAGGTAGATAAGAGTGTGTTATTTTCTCTGTATTGAGCCGGCATTAGATCTGGCTCAGAGTGTGATCCGATCCTCATCTGTTTTACTTAAATACCCTTAGATGTTGAATCTGCCGCAGGGTAATTGATGTTCTATTGGCTGCTGTTCCTCCTGCAGATTACAAAGAGGGACGGTTTTATTAGCTTTAATATGGACACAGAATTGGACACCCTTATAAAGGGGAAGGGGAGGGGGGTGGCTTCGTCTGCTTTCATCATTATTAAAGAAGAACATTTCTTATGATAATCACTGACAGCTACATTATGGCTTTCATGAACTGATAACTTCCAGTGAATAGAGAGATATTATGGTTAAGCTTAATTAAGCTTGTGCTTGTGTTTTTTTATGCTTAAAACCTTCATTACACACCCCTCTGATCAAATTCAGTTATTGAGTAGCAAGTAGTCAATGGCATGAATATGCTAATGTGTGTCCGAGACCTAAGCAAGGAACTGTGTTGTCTTTTTACATTGAAGGGATAGTTCACTCAAAAATTCTGTCACCATTTACTCACTCTCGTTTCATTCCTAACCAAATTTTCGTTCTGTTGTAGAATGTGAAAAGATATTTTGACTGTTTTAATCCATATAATGAAAGTTAGAGTCCAAAAATATTATTGACCCCAAAAAACAGACATTTTTTCAAATTAGACTGAAGAAAGTCATCAGAATATTGCAAAAACCGAATCGTCACTTCTGGGAATATTGGCCCAAAATAGAAATAAAAGTTGGAGCCACTGTGACTAAGTTTAGTTAGCCTAATGAATTACTTCAAAACTTTTCAAAATGCAAAAAAAAACTGCTAGCGTCAGGTTTGTTAGCGATTAGCTGCAACTCTTTTTGGGCAAATTATTCAATCATATAACTTGCTTAGATTGAAGTCATGTAATTTTTGATAAACAATGGTACCAAAAATTAACAAATAAATACCAAAATGTCTAATTATACTTCATGGGCATACTGTATCATCTTACCAAAAATTGCAATTCTATATATAATATTTGATATACGTATATGTAATAAAGGTCTCCATCTTGAGTAGGAATATTGAAATATGAAGGTGAGTAAATGATGCCAGAAGTTTCATTTGAGTAATCTATTCAGACAATAAAGAAACACAGTTTTGACAAAGCCGACCAACACTCCTCGACTTTTCTCACTTTTTACATCGTCTAAG